GACAACCTGCCTTATGGTGTGATCTTGCATGAGTTTTAAGTTTGATGTCAGAGATCGACTGGTGTGTCGTTTGTTTCGCTTTGGTGGCGAGTACGCACCAAGGGAATGTGGCCAGGGCATCCCCTTAGTGTTGAAGTGCCGAGCTGTGCTTGGACTTTGGATCTTTGGCATGAACCCTCAGCAAAATGCGGGAGGTGGAAGATCGTGGCTGATCATTGATGGTTTTGTCATGTTTTGGATCAGCTTGTATAGAGTTGCTTTGCTTCGGAGTGATTGGGAATCTTTATGATCCCATCCTCGATGGTTTTTGCCTCGATGATTTCCCTAGGAAATCATACGAGTATGTTTTTGCCCAATACGCTACTTTGTTCCGAAGCTGAGTTTAAGCTCACATGTGAATTCGTTTAGTTTGCGCACTTCGTGACTTTTGGCTCAAGGCCTACGAGTGAAAAAGAGCGTGTCCGCACTTGGTTGAGATAGGTTTGGGTTCGTGCTTTCAAGGGAAAAGGTTCGGTTTTTCACAAAAAAAGGGTGTTTCAATCCATTTAGCTCTAGTCCAAAATTGTATCAAAAAGGGAGTCTAAATACCACGTTTTTTGATGTTGAGCTTCTTTTTTTCGACGTCAGCAGAATCAGTGAGCAGGCTATGTCGGTGTGAAAAGGTAACACCCTACGCAAAAGGCAAAAATTCCCAGCAAAGAAAACAGCCGAACAACAAAACACAGCCGAATCCAGGAGCCCGTTGTTGCGGTGGCTGATGACCTGAGCAAGAGCAGCTCATACGTCATATCATTTCACTATGAAGAGAGCGGTGCTGTGCAATGCTTGAATGAAAGGAGAAAGGATTACCTTCCCACAGTGGTCCAAAATTGTGCTCGCAAGTCATGTTGGTCTTTGCAGCAGGGCGAAAGCAGCAAGCCATTGCCTGAGCATCAAGGTGCGTGTGGCACAGATGTTGTATTGCAGATCGGTTTAAGAGAAAATTAGGCAGAGACTAGAAGTTGGTTTTAGGGAGGGGAGGGGGACGTTTAGGAGGTCAAGGACCCTGTTTTTAAGAAGGTGAAACCTCCTTTTTTTTCCTGAAACCAAATACAGAAGAACCGCATTGGTTCAGATGAGGTGCAATCTGGTCGTACTCGCTGTCGGATTGCGCGTGTATGCATTCGTTTTGAAAAATGCATCATCTGCCGCGGGTAGAAAAGCAATGCGTGGAAGTGTTTCGAGCGTGGTTGAACATAGGTTTAGTCAGAATGCGAAACGCCGGGCACGCCCAATTTGTCAATTCTTTTGTCTGGTCTGTTTTCTCTTTGTCTCTCTGTCTTGAACGATTTGATGTCTTGATCTCTTTCCATTTCTCTCATTGCGTCTCTCTCTTCGAGTTTCACTCTCTCTCTCTTTCTCTTGTCTTGGTCTCCGTCTGTGTTTGTGGCTTTCTTTCCATGTGTCTGTTTGCGTCTGTATCTCTGTTTTGGGGGTCAGTCCTAAATTTGGACAAGAATCATGTTGATTTTTCGTTTGGCGCAGCTTGTTCTCATGCTGGCTGTTTCAGTTGTTGATACCAGCGTGCCCTATGTTTTTCATGTCGAACGAGTTGCTACTTGCAAGGTTTTTTTCGAGGGTGGTTTAGAGTCAGCTTGATTTACCATTCCAGGCTTCGCATCATGAGCATCCGAACAATTTTCTCATCCTACTGCAGCAATTTGCCATGATCGCATGAGTTCGAATAGCCTAAACCTTAAACCCTAAACCGTAAACCATAAACCCTAAACCCCAAACCCTAAACCCTAAACCCTAAACCCCAAACCCTAAACCCTAAACCCTAAACCCCAAACCCTAAACCCTAAACCCTAAACCGCAAAAGTACGGGAGGTTAGGGAACCTTGGATTCCACATGGTCGGGCTTGGCTCTTTGCAACGTAGGCCAGAGGTCGCCGCTGAAGAAAGGGCATACTTGGAGATTCAGGGGTACCTACGTAGTAAGCCCCTTAAGTACCCGAATAGGGTTATAAGTATTGGGTTACTAAGTACCCTGAACCTCCAAGTAGGATCCTCCGGTTCCGCAGACGGGGCGGGCCTGTTGCGGCAGACGTGCGGAGTTTGGCATCATGGCATGTGGGGTAGAGTTAGGGTTCAGGGTTCAGGGTTTAGTGTGTAGGGTTTAGGGTTTAGGCTTTGGGTTTAGGGTTCAGGGTTGAACGTTTAGGGTTTAGGGTTTAGGGATTAGGGTGAGGGAAACAAGAACCCCACAATTTGGATGTCTGCCCAACGCTCCAAACTTCAAGCAGGATGCCTTCTTTCTTTGCGAAGTTTTTAGCGTTTGTGCATGTGGATGTTCCCCCTTATCCGCACAGCCCTGAATAGGGATGATCAGACTCCCCTATAAGCATCCCTCTTCAGGAGCTGCTAGAAGCAGCGTAAACCCTAAACCCTAAACCCTAAACCCTAAACCCTAAACCCTAAACCCTAAACCGAGGAACATCCCAATGTGTGCAACGTGTGGCAATCCGCTCCTGGCTTGTGGGGTGCTTTCTGGCCGTTAAGGGTGTAGGGGTTAGGGTGCCGATAATTCCCCTTTCCCTTTCGCTAGAGCGGTGTAATCGCATAGGAAAAAAAGGGTTTAGGGTTTAGGGTTCAGGGTTTAGGGTTTAGGGTTTCGGGTTAATACTAGTTCGAGTTCTAACTGCGCGAATTGAAGAGAGCGCCCATACAATATTAATGTGATAATCATCATGGGCGGACTTGTAAGCCCGTGCATATATTGGGGTCCTTATCCTTATATTGCAATGTAGTGAAGTGAGTAAGTGAAGGAACGGAGCGAAAGAACGCGACGAACAAGAGAACAAAACTAATATACTGAAAGCCGGATCGTAGTGTGTGTGTAAACGTAAAACCCAAAAGCCCAAATAACAGAATTTAAAAGCACTTTGCTTGCCTCAGCAGTGTCGTGTGAGGCTCTTAGGAGAACGCGTGATTGGATATTTAGTACTGGTGTTATCAGGACCAAAGGTGAAGAGAGCAATGTTAGTTGACTTCTTAAGTGTGTGAGTGACGCACGAAGTCAAGTAAAATTATGAACGAAACAATAAGAGCCCAACAATAAGATTTTTTTCTGGGGCCTTTCATGACATTATTGCTAATGTTACACACGGGGCTATTCAAGTTCCTAGGTCCATCTGCGCCCCCTGCCGGGATGCATGCCGCACGGACTTGCTTGGACTTCGGTGTTTGGATGTCTTTCTTCGTGTGTAAGAGCCCGAAAGCAAGCTCGAAAGCAAGCTCGGTTCGTCGTGGGGCAGCGTTTTGTGCGTTTGAAGTCGAAGTCCTGTCGTGCCAGGTCCCCTCGTCAACGTCGTGGCTGAGTGCTTCCCTGTTTGTGCAGCGGATTGTGGAAAGATGTTGCTCCATCGGCCCAGTGCGGAAGGCCTGAGGTTGCAGCGGCAGCGGCCAGCGAATGTAACCTATTCGGAGTGACCCTAAGGCCTAAGCCTTAAACCCTAAAGCCTAATTCCCCAAACCGTGGCGGCACCATGCAAAGACGCCGCTCTGCGCCCGAAGGAGGGCAGATGGATCCATACTACGATGTTGCAGTATGAGTCCAGCAGTGTTTTGTGCGCGCACTTTCCCTTGTCGGGTTTCGTTGGCGCTTGACGAGAGAAGTTTCTCAAACTTTCCGATCCGTCATACAAGCGGTGGCAGCTGCAGGACTTCTTATTGTATGCGGCCAGGTCTTGGCCAAGCTTGCATCCCCCACGGAAGGAGTGTCAGAAAGTTCCAGGCCCAACCCGAAATCATAACACCACTTAAACATGCACCCCGGCAAATCTAACTGACCTCTTTGTGCTAAACAAAAAGGAGCTTCCATTACGGCGCAACTGCGCAGCAACAATCTCTGCAGCGTGGCACTGCACAGGCAAAGTCAAGAAGGGACGGAGCTGCTTACTTGCTAGGGTGCTTTGCCATTGCCAGGCGGTGAAGATAGGACTGGGCAGGCGGTTTATTTCAGAATATTCAGGCCACAGGCGATGCATGAAGTTTAGGACTTCTGAGGTTTAGTAGCTTCGCGTTTCAAGGGAAGCCTGGTGTTGAGCAGGCCAGGATCCAGTTCGGACGCTACTCCATTCACTCCAAACATCAACTCCGTGTGCGCCTAGACACTGCGCTGGCCCATGGCAGCCTGCAAGCCCGAAACCACCTAGACCCCAAAACCCGGCTCCAAACCCGGCTGCGACCCGCTTTGAAGGCTGCGTGCCGCAGGCCTTTGTACCATGAGCTGTCTCCCCAACAGGGCACTAAGCTGCTTCGGTCTTTGCCGAGACTCAGTCCAAGTAAGGGTTGTTTGAAAAAAGTTAGGTCCTGTTGGGTCCTAATTGCGTAAATGTCCCTTTGTTGGGAGCGTGCGGGACTCCTGTTCATAACGGGGAGTGTTCTCCAGAGGACCAGAGCCTTACATCTTTCAAACGAGAGGCCCCGCCCCGAGCGTGCGGTGCCGCGCGCGTGTCCGTGCCACCGGCTCCGATTTTCCTTGATTTGCCTACGATTCGCCGCTGTGCTTCGCTTTGGAGTGCGGTGCGGCCTTGCCAGCAGCAGCGTGGGGGTAGTAATTCACGTGGTCCTTGCCAGGGCCCCTTGGTGTGGTTCTGGGACCCAGCAGCTCCGATGGAAGTCCTTTTCGTCGTGCGGCGTAAGGTAGCTCTGGGAGGATGTGAGCGGAGCTCCACGGTCAACTCGTCCAACACCGTGCCGTTGGCAGGCGATGACGAAGCTTTGCTAGACTCCCATGCGCCACCTTGTGTGGTCCCCTCCCAACACTCGCCTCTGCCTGCCTCTGCGAGCCCTTGTGTCCGCTGGCTCGCGCCTGTTCACATGCGTGGGCATCTTCGGATTTCGGTTATTGTAGAAGCAGAGCTGGCACCTTGCTTGCGCCTTCTGGCTGGCTGGAGATACAGGCCCTTGCACCAACGTGTCTTCCGTGTTCGGTTTCGACACGTCGCTCCGGTCTCCTACGCGCAGTCGTAAGCCAGCAGGCATCGGCTGAAGTCAAAAGACAACTCTGTTCGCCCAACTTGCGGTCCTGGGAGTTGCTTCCCAGGCTTGGCTTTGGCCGCAGTGCCTTGCTCTGCCTTGTGAAAGGACTCCGCGCTTGCCTTGATGTCCTGACCAAGGAGGTCCCACACTGCTTCCATTTCCCATTCTTCCACAGAGTCTTCCACACGCACTCCTTCCCAAGCACAATCGTACGTCGAATGCTTGTTGGAAACGACATTTTGGATCTTCAACAGGTACTTGTGGGCTGCAGACATGGACCGGGTCCCAGGCCGAAGCTTCGGATGGATGGAGGTGCCCTGAGCAAGGGCTTCGATCATCCTGCTCATTGTCGTTTGCACAATCGGAAGCGATGTCCGAGAGCTCCCAAAGCGCCTTTTCCCCAGCGCTAGCGTTAGGAGCCAGACGAGGAGCCGGTGCCGCACGCTCGGAAGGCTGCTTGAGGAGACGCTCTTATTGGGCTCGCCGGATGGAGTGGCGCTGCTTGCTTCCTCTCAATGTGCCTGCTTGTCTGCGGCTGAGCGCACGTGGTGCTAGGCACCGCAACCACGCGATCGCTGTGCAACGGCATCAGTGGGCCTGCTACCGTTGGATAGCGGCTTGTGTGGTCGGATGCTTGCAAAGCTGCATCGCTGACCACTGACCGCTTCGTCCGGCACGTGAACCCATGCACTTGAGCTTTGAGACAGCAGCACTTACATGGTGCGTGAGCCAGGCGGTTGCCTTCAGAGTGCTGCGGCCACAAAGGCTTGCAGCTTCTGCATTTGCCCGAGCGTTGCCATCTCTGCAGCTTCCGAGCTCACCTCAATGCAGAGCTGGCGCTCTTTGAGCACAAGCGTGCATCGTGTGTGCATCTTGATGCCAGGCTCTGCAGTGAGGTGGCTGGGAGGGATAGACCTTGCCGACCATTGTGGGCCCCGGTTGTGGCAGAGCTTCGTTGCACCCAGCTTGGGTTGCTGGGGGTCGAGCTTTGGTGCTGCGGCTTGTGCCGACCTGGCCCGACGACTTCAACTTGGTAGCTCGACAGCTGAGAGGTCTATGCGATAATGCCACCAACATGATAAGGTCTTGCCGGCATTGTCCACGACACGGGGGTTTTGCTGCAAGGTGCCCTAGAATCATCAGGAGCTGCGTCAGGAGCCAGTCTCGCGGCAAGCTTTGGGCGGTAGGTTGTGCTGCCGAATGTTTGGAAAGGTGCCTCGCGGACCGCCTTGTCCTGTCCTTGACATGGCGGCACTCGCACAGTGCATGATCACGTTCAGAGTGCTGCGGCCACGAAAGGCAGAGGCCTGCTCCCGTCTGATGACGCGGGCTCGAGGCCTCTGTCTTTTTTCAGAAGCTTGCTGTGCCTTGCCATGGCCTTGGCCATGTGCAGCTTCCAAGCTCACAGCGCAGCGTGGTCTGCCAAACCTCTGAGCAGACTGGGAGACCTTGCAATGATCTCGAGTGTTGAGTGCTACAGGTCTTGCTGACTATGACAGGTCTGCAGGCTGCTGTTCAGGACTCTTCCGTGCAGGTTGGAGATTTCGAGGTCTGGGTCCGCAGGACTTGCTCGGCTAAGCTCAGCAAGGCCCAGTACGCCCTGAGCGTGCTGGGCGCGGCGAGCTTTCTTCAGCTGCGAGGGCTTCAGGTTTAGGGTTTGGTGTGGTGGAGCTGCTGCTGGGTCGGGCATGTCGAGGCAGGGGTTCTCTAAGCACCGAACTCTGGAAGGTTCAGTCTCCACGCCTGGCCGCTTGACTGCCCAAGCCCTCCTAAACCAAGGACTTCGTGCCGCATGCTTGGAAGGCTGCTTGAGGAGACGCTCTTGCTGGACTCGCCGGATGGAGCGGTGCTGCAGCACGCTGGGTGCTAGGCTCTGCGACAACACTGTCGAAGTGCAACGCCAGCAACGGCATCAGCGGGCCTGCTACCGTTGGATGGCGGCTTGGGTGGTCGGATGCTTGCACAGCTGCGTCGCCGACCGCTTCGTCCCGCACTTCAGTCACTTGAGCCCGCGCTTGAGTTTTGAGACGGCAGCACTTTCGCGGCGCATGAGGCAGGCATTTGCCTTCAGAGTGCTGCGGCCACAAAGGCTAAACCGCAAGTCCTGGATCGCAAGCCCCCCAGCCCTCTAACTCCTCGGGTCCCTGGTGGAGGGTCGCGGGCAGGTGTGCAGACAGGGTCGCATGTGAGGCCTTTTCGTTCACTCGAGTTCTTGGAAATACCTGCAGAACTTGTGATAGCATGCCTTTTCTCGGGTAGACCTGCGATCGGCACCCGGCGAGCACTGCGCACCACCGTGACGGCCAGCGGTTCGGGCTGAAGCGATCACGTACTCTTTCACCTTGTGCGCCCCCCTGACGATGACACAGGTCGCGAGAAGGCGTCGAACACGCAGCGGCGGACAGTTTGACATGAGAAGCCGATTACCCATCAACTGTCTGTGCTTGGGACATTTGGGGCCTACGCCATTCGTTCCACTACCCCGGGTGGAAGCTTCGGACTCTCCCGCGCTCGCGGAAGCCCAACAGCTGAAGCGCGTGTGTAGAGTGTAGAGCTTCGTCCTGCGAATGTTTGATAGATTTTCGGTTGCCGATCAGCTTTAGTCCATGGAGAGCCAGACCGGCAGTTCTCTGAACTTCAGACTCAAGACACGCCGCTGGGACTGCGCCACCTCGTGCAGCTGCAGGAGCCTGCTAAGTGTAGCTTCTGAGCGATCTAGTGATCTGTTGCAACCAACCGCAGCTCTGAACAATTCGCGGTCGTGTGGCCCCCAAGGCAACTGCTTGCTCTGTGACCCGGGAAGTTCCCGCAGCCTCAGCCGCACGAACCCCGAGAGTTGCGAGTCCTTGCAGGGCGGGGTGGGATACAACATGAGCTACGCAGCCTCCTTGGTGCAGCAAGCAGAGGAGGTAGTGAAGGCTTTGAGGAATCTTTTCTGAAATGGCTTCTGCCTTGTCGGTTCGGTCCAACGACCTATGCTTACAAGTGGAATCCTTGGGGGGTGGGAGATCAGGATTGCGGTGCTTGAACAGTCTGAGGAGATGAGATAGGAAGGGCCAGGGATGTTTCACAGGGGTCCCATGCCCGACGAGTCCCAGAGGGGCTCCCAAGACTCGGAAGTCCTCCGCCCGCCCCTCCACCTCCCTTGAAGGCATGTGCCACAGACTAACAGTGACTAACATCAGATACTTGCAGGCTCCAGGCTGCAGGGCCTTTGCCCTACATGCAACAGGTTGCAGGGCTTCGGGGGAAGATCGTCTCCCGAAGGGCACCGAATCACGACATCCGTCAACCCGGACAAATCTGGGTCCCCCCAAGAAGGGCGGACGTGGGAGCTTAGGGAACTCCTATGATAGCCCTCCCCAACTAGTAGGATGCCAGTACGATAAGGACCCCCAAGAAGGTACCCCCTAATTTCGGACACCCCCCATATGACCCAAAGCACAAAAGCTCGAGCCCGCTTCGGAATGACCGCCCCACGCCTCGCCCCATTCGCCCCCCCACCGCATGCCCCCACCTTTGCTTGCCAACCAGAGCGACAGGCCCGCCCCACCTTCCCGAGCCCCAGGCCACCGATCCCCATAACATGAGACAACAGAAGCCCTAAACCCTAGACCCTAAACCATAAGCCGCATGGAAAAGCAGAGCGGGCGGAGGCATGTGGCCTATGCTCGCTGTGATTGTTGTGCCTGTGCACTTGCAGTACAATATGAATGACTCTGCGGACACTCCACGTGCCCTTTGGCTGTTCAAGCAAAGGCACGTGGGGGCAGCTGCCAGTTCGTTTTGACCGGTGGGGGGTACTCACACAAGCAGGACGGGGGTAGAACGGACTTACGCGCCCTGAGCTGTAAGCAGTTTCATCACAGAGATCCAAAAAAGGCCCACGCCCGCCGCCAAGTATGCGCATGCTCAAACAACTCACGCGCCCTCTGACGGCACCTTGAACTTCCAGGAGTTCAACAAAAACGCCCTTGGGCCACTAAACCCCGAAACCCCTCTAAATGCTCAACCCCTAACCCCGTCAATCAAAACATCACCTTGCTTGCAGATGTGAGAGAGTCTGTTTTACACTTGCGGTTGTCTAGTTTTCGGCGAGCAGTAACACATAGAGGGAATGGCCGTATTCTTCGATGTTGGAAACCACCGCCTTAGGAGGGTGCAGCTGTGAGGAACAGATGAGATGATCGTCCACGCGTCTCTCGTCCTTGGTGACGCTCCACAAGATCCGACAAGAGCCTGACTTCAAGGCCAAAATAACCACCGTGGGAAGACAGGCTAGTAGGCTGTAGTTGCGCCTGCTCTGAACCAAGACACGCCGCTCAGGCTGTAGAGTGGCTCGTGCCATCTCGTGCCGCTGCAGGGGTCTCCGTTGCCTGTTGATGTAGCTGCAGAGCGTCAGGCGGAAGCACGTGGCTCATCTTTGAATTGATGGGGTCACCAAGGCTGCCCGACATCGTTACTTTTGGTCGTAGGACAGATGTGGTCCCATATCCACCAAGTAGACAGCCGTCCGCAGCTCCAACAGTGCGTCCCGGCTTAAACAACTCACTGCCTTGATCAACATCCATCCTCAGAACGACAGGCAGTCGTATGCCAGCGAGGAAAACCCTGTGATGTGCGGTTTATTGTTTGTATCTTGTCCGCCTGGGGCTCCGCCTTAGGAGGGTGCAGCTGTGAGGAACAGACGAGATGCTTCGATCTTCTGCGCGCCTCTCTTCCTTGGTGATGCTCCACAAGATCCGACAAGCGCCTGATTTCAGGGCTAGCAGAACCTCCGTGAAAAAACAGACCAGCAGTCAACCCAAGACACGCCGCTCAGACTGTAGAGTGTCTCGTGCCTCGAGCAGCTGCAGGGGTCTCCTTTGCCTGTTGATGTAGCTGCAGAGCGTCAGGCGCAAACGAACTGATGGTCTTCGTCGACATCGTCATTCTTGCTTGTAGGACTGATTTGGCTGCCAAAAAGGCCCATATCCGCCAAGTAGACTGCCGTCCGCAGCTCCAACAGTGCGTCCATGCTTAGACAACTCACTACCTTTTTCAGCATCCATCCTCAGAGCGACAGGCAGTCGTATGCCCGCGACGAAAACCCTGTGATGTGCGGCCTTCTGATCTCATCTTCTCCGCCTGGGGCTCCGCCTTAGGAGGGTGCAGCTGTGAGGAACAGGTGAGTTGCTTCGATCTTCTCCGCGTCTTTCTTGCTTGGTGACGCTCCACAAGATCCGACAAGAGCCTGATCTCAGGGCCAGCAAAACCCTCCGTGAAAAGCTCAGACTGTAGAGTGGCTCGTGCCATCTCGTGCCGCTGCAGGGGTCTCCGTTGCCAGTTGATGTAGCTGCAGAGCGTC